CCCAGCTCATGTTGGATTCCACGCCATGACATCCCAGACGGATAGTCATCTAGGGACAGGACGCTGCCTGCCTCCTAAGAAGGCCCATTCCATTACTGGGAAGTTCTGGTTGTTACGAAGTTCTTCAACCTGAACTCTTCTTCCTGATAACTTCAGCCGATTGACTCTAGTTCTGCCTTCTGGGGCTTTAGAGAACAAAACAAAAAACACCTGCCTGCCTCCTTTCCCACAAGACAGCCTTTTAGATTTTCAAAGACGGTGAATCCATTCTTCTGTCTTTTCTGTCTTCCAGGGTTGAGGTGTTGAGGAAGCACTATTTTAACCTTCAGCTTAAACTCTTGATTCATTATTTTTGAAGGCCTTGTATGTGTATGTCACAGTGCTAGGTGCCATATTCTTCTGGTCCCCTTTCAGGTTAACCATTTTTTTCTCTCTCTCCCTCTCCCCCACCCATCCCCTGGTGGAAGATGGGCCCATCCTACCCAGGATGTTCGGTTTTATAGGATAGCAGTTCTTATTCCAGTACCTCAGGGAAGTTTCCTGGGCAAGTGTTGTGTTAAGGTTGGTTTTTAAGCCCATGAGGTGAAATGAGGCATAAAAGCTCTCCCACTGATAGGAGCTACGCAGGGCTGTGACTGGGCAGTGCAGGCATTCGGTGAACAGAGGGGTTGGTTCTTTTCTTCCCTCTCCTACTTCTCCCTTCCTGATGTTTGAACCCAGAACACTTCCTACTTTCCTTTAAAGCCACCAGGCAGCACGGTGTAACAGAGGGCTAGAAAGGCCTGGTTTAAATGCACTAAGAATCTGGGCAAGTTACCTGTGCTCTTTGAGCCACTGTTTTCACCCAAGCCTTTCCCCACCCCCTTCTTTCCTATGAGTATGCCTCGCGCCGCCCCCCACCCCCGCAACTGCGCGGCCAAACTTCTCCAAACCTCTCCTCCCTCTTTTCATCTCTTAAGGGCCTGTCTTCTCCCTCTCCCCCTCCCCCTCTCCCCCTCCTCCTAAGCTCCAAGGGCCATTCTTTTGTTGTAACTTGTTTCCTGAGTCAATTTCTTCTACATTGTACTTTTTCTACCTCTGTGACTTCCTCAATAAATTTCAATAGGTAGGTAAGTAGGTAGGTAGGTAGGTAGGTAGGTAGATAGATAGATAGATAGATATCCACCCACCTCTACATTGCAAGGAAATACTTCATTAAGCTTCTGGCCCAATCCCTGCTACACAGAAGATGCATAAACACTAGCTTCCTGTTCCCTTTTGCTCCCTTTTCTCCTTCCCCCAACCTTCTTTCACTACCACTTCTGAGGGATTTAAAGGCAAAATGCTCTGTGGTTTCCTGGGGAAAATGAGCTAAATGTGAGTGTAGTAGCCAAAGCTTGACTTAGGTATTAGGGAACAAACTATCATTTTCTGTTGAGCTCCTAGTGAGATCAAAGCTGGTAAGAGATTTCTCAAGTCAGAGAGGTTTAGAAGGTTATAAATGACAGTAAGTGACCACTGTGGCTGCTGTTGCCTCCCGCACACATTCAGAGCTATTGAACACTGCCTGCTTCCCATAGGCTGACAGAGGCTGTTCCCCTGGCCACTGGACTTGCATGCAGTGACTCTTAAACCGAAAGCCTTTTCTTGGGGACCCCTCTTGATTCCTAAACTGTTGAGCTGGCTCTTTGGGGCTGTTTTACCCATACTCACCTCTACTGCTCCCTGTTTTCCTCCACTCTAGATTCTCAGCACACTTAGCATCCAAGAAAAAATTCATTTCTGGGCTGAGAAGTTTCCAGCAGTCACACCCATACCCTGTTGATAGGCCAGGAAACCTGCTGCCCACCCACTTGGAGAGCATACGTGAAGCCTTCTTTGCGGCAGTTGGTCAGAGTTAAGAACCAAGAAAACTGCTGAAGCCTGTAATCTTCCCAATGAAAGGAGGAAGGAGAGCAGAGCTGTGGGGTCGGAGCCCCCATTTGGAAGCCCCTCCCTGTCTTTCAGCAGATGCATCAGTGCTTTCTATATGCTGGGGGATGGGACTCCCCTGACAGGATGTTTACAGACTGGGGACAGAGGTAGGGGCACAAGTAACCAGAACCCAGTGCTTAGTGGGCAGAGGTGGAGGCTTTGTGGAGGAAACAGCACTCCAGCTCGATTGGGAAGGGAGGCCAGGGTTCAGGAATTACTCTTACCTCAGCTAGAAAATCTGGGTTGAAGTTTAACTGCCCCGATGTGGAGAGTAATGCAAAGAGCATGGACATTTCACCAGAAGATCCGACTGAATCTTTTAAATTAAGTAATAGGCCGTCCCTGCTATGGAACTGATCAACAGGGAACACCTCTCTCCTGGGCAGCTTTTTTCCCTGCGTTTCTTTAAATGGTGACTGACCTTCCTATCTGTGGAATGGGTCAAACAGTGGGATTGCTCAAAGAATTTAGTGTCCTATTTCTCTCTTGTTTTGACAGCTCTCCCTGTCTTGAGGTAGGGCATTTCAAAGTAATATACCATCACTAAGATTTTTAAGCTGGATCGAGTGAAGCGGTCATGCCGACCCCCACCCCCATTCCCCATCCCCCATCCCCTATCCCCTATCATACAAGGCTTTATCCTTTGTTCCTGGAGCTGAAAGCTGTCACACTTGGGTGTTTATCGTCGCACATAGGTATGCAGTGGTTGTACTGGCCTGCCTGCTTTTACACTCCTCTCCTGCTGTGGAAAACCCTGTCTGAGATTCTAGGTTGTGTATTCCATCCTCTCCACCTGCAGTTAAATAGTTTCTGAATGAGCATTCAGAGTGCTGGAAGTTACTATAATTATCAAAAAACTATGTTTTCATCTCTCCTGGTGATAGAGAATCCTGTGAGGAACCAGTTTCAGATCACCAGCTAGAGAGTTGGGAATTCAGCAGCCACAGTAAACAGCTGACAGAACAGAAGCAGCAGTGATCCCCCATTAAATAAATGTCTTTCAGCCGATAGGGGCTTCCGAGGTAATTGACTTTCCAGAAGGAATTACTGGCTTAAACTAAATCACTGGGCATTAGGGAAGCCTACTGCATCTTTTGAAAGGGGGACTGTGACTCTCTGGTTTTGCTGACCTGACAGGCATAATTCATCTTGATATTCATTGTCCTAGTTGCCACCAGATGACACCAGATTTCTGTTGACTGTAATTACAACATGGGGGTGAATTTGGGCTTTTTGGTTTTTTTTTTTTTAATAGTGCTCCACCAACTGGGTTATTGGCTTCCCTGAGTTGAAGGTGCTGTAGGCAGATTTCTGCATCGTCTCCCTGGGGAGATGATGAGTGCATAGCCAGAGAGCATTTACTGAGCACCTCCTCGCACACGTCTTTTACTCTCTCAGCAGGAAAACAATTTGATGTAGCCTGTTTCATTTCAGCTGACAGGATGTCACTTCTTGGTTATGCTGACCTCCCTGTGTGCTAGATTGCTGCTGTCAGAAAGTGGGTCTACACCTCAAAGCCCACTCAGAGTAAGGGAAGCAAAGGGTGGCCTCCAAATATAAGCAACTAAGACCTCTGCTTTCAGGCAAGCTTTAGTAAAGGGAGAGGGGAGAGAAAATAGAACTAGACCAGGCCTCCATTTTATTGGCATGGTTTCACAATGAGATCCTTATGTAGTCTGAACATCTTCCCAAGAAACTTTTGCTCCCCATTCCACAATGCCCCTTTTCAACCTCTTATACACCCCAGCCAGCTGGGTGGCACACACTTGTGTGTGCATGTGTGTGAGTGCATGCGCCTGTGGTCCTGAAGAATAAAGGACAGTGTGACGGGCTCACCGCGTCCAGTCCCAGCCACCGGGACAGGGTGGGCAGCAGACTTCCAGTGTGGCGTTTTATACGCCCCTGTAGCAGAGAGCGGTTTTTACTCTCCTGTATGGTATATGTGTTTGTATATATTTTGAAGAAGTATTCAATTGGCTCAAATAGCCAGTTAATTCCTTTTAACAATGATTGTAGTTCATCACATATTCACTGGGGCCTAATAACTGCCAGGCAATGTGCTATGTGCTACAGGTACAAAGGTGATAAGACACTTTTGCTGTTAAAGAGCTTACAATACAGATAATTCTGAAATGATATATTAAATTCTAAGTTCAAAATGTACAAAGATTGCATCTGGTATACTTAGCCCAGCCAGGAGCGAAGAGGAGGCTGCCTGTGGAAAACAATGCCTGACTGGAGGAATAAGAGCTCCCCAACTGAGTCAGGCTAGGAAGCAGATTCTAAGAACATGAAGGTATACTTACATTTACCATCCCATCTCCTCCATTCAGTTGAACGGTGTCGGTTTAACTTAATCATTTAAATCACTATTGCTTTGATGAAAATGAACTTCAGTCTAGTAGCACGGAGTCTCTACCTTGGGAATAATCTCAGGCCCTGGGGATCCTTCCATCACTAGGGAGTTCTGATTGCTAGACTTAGGCTAGCTGAGACACCACAACTTCAGGATATGTGTCCTGCTTCCTTTGACCATTTAACCCCACTTTGAGTGTTGTATGAAAAGGCAGGCTAGCTATCTTCACAACATACCATATAATACACAAATAAATCATCAAATAGACAAACACATATACCATAAAGAACCTGCCGAAAAGCGATCCATCTCATAATGGTGGCTCCCCAAAAATCAGCTAGGGGTGAACAGGCTCTCAGAAAATGGGGCCTTTGTGTCCTCCTCTAACAGGATTTTCAGGTGTAAGTAATGCCCACCCTCCACCAAATGGAGATGATTCTTCCACCTGACTTCCCTCTCATTTTGGAACCGTAATTGAAAGCAAAGAACTAAACAAGGGGCGGGGGGTGGGGGGCGGGAGACAAGCTGCCCCTATAAGGGTGGCAGAGGTAGTGAACTGAGCAGTCTTTTATAGTATAAGCCAGAATAGTCCCAATTCCTAATGCTGTCCATTTCCCCCCTAAATGAGTGCCTTATTCTCTAACACACTCTTCCTACTGCTGCCTGAACTCTCTGCTCTGTTCCCCTTTAGAATGGTGGCTTGGCTTGGAGCGATGATGCAGATGGAGGCCGAGGAAGAGAGATCTCTCGAGACTTTGCCAAGGTCTGTAATGTTTCCTTTGTGATAACAAAAGGGGCAGTGGGTCGTTGTATCTGATCCCCGAGGCATAGGACAGGAGGGGCCTATGAGTCACATTTGTAGTCTAGATGGTTAAGACTTCCTGCATAAGATGAATTTTTTCATTATGTTTTTTTTTCCCCCTGGGGGGATTGGGATTACAGCTGTATGAACTGGACGGTGATCCGGAAAGGAAAGAGTTCCTGGATGACCTCTTCATCTTTATGCAGAAGAGGGGTGAGTGTGCATTATTTCAATTCTGTGACTATTTATGGAGTGCCTACTGTGTGCAGTTCACACTTGGGCTTAACTCCTCCCCACGGAGTGCCAGAGTCTTAGCCCAGGAAGACAAGAGGCATTTACTGCTGATTGGTTATGAATGTAGCCAAACAATGGAACCAGATTGAAGGCAAAGAGGGCCCTGGCAGAAAATGAATGGACTGATTATTGAGATCTGGTCCTGCTATTTTTTTGTCATTCTGCTTCTGATTAACTGGTCTCTGAAGTCACTTCAAATTTAAATACATTTTTTTCTTAGTCTTATAACTTCCCTGAACATCACTTAAACTGGTACGTGGGGTTTCCTGTTGCTGTATCTAGCCTCAGAGAGACTGGGAAAGGCCATTGAAAGAATAGAGGCCCCTCAGTATTTGTTGGGAGGATCGGAAATGACTTGTGAAAAGGACAGGTTAAATCTTTTTTCTTTCCATTGGCTCTTTGATTTTTGCATCCACTGGCTCGGTGGAGGCATTTCTGCAGTTTTACTGTAGGTATGTGGGTGTCTGCTTTATAATGCACCTTCCCACTTCTCTCCTCCTCTCCTTTTAAGCTCCCTTACTCACCGCCAACCATCTCACTTTGGACCGGGTTATGACTGAGTCTTGAGCCCAGTGACTCAGCCTCCTGGCTTTATAGCCTTTCATTACAATGGGTTCACCAGCCAGGCCAGCCCTCAGCACGCATGGCCAGAAACCCAGGCTCTCTAGGAGAAGGTTCTTCGCAATCTGTGTAGCTCCACCTTTGTTACCCTCAGGACAAAGCCATGGGAGAGCACTGCTCCCACCAGCCTCTTTCCCAGGATTCATTGGGTTGGCCAAAAAGTTCTTTTGGTTTCTTACCATACTGTGGCTCTAGTAGCGCTTAGTTGTCTTTAACTTCATTTGAAATAATTTTGTTAGATTGTATGGTGACAGCTGTCATATCAGCCTGCTTTAAAAAAAAAACTTATCAAAATTGGCCAATTTTTGTGTAGCCATTTTAATATTGAAGATAGAAGAAGATGTGCAACATTTTTGACATATTATGCTTTATTTCAAGAAAGGTAAAAACACAACTGAAATGCAAAAAACGATTTGTGCAGTGTATGGAGAAGGTGCTGTGACTGGTCGAATGTGTCGAAAATGGTTTGTGGAGTTTCGTGCTGGACATTTCTCGCTGGACAATGCTCTACAGTTGGGTAGACCAGTTGAAGTTGATAGCAATCAAATCAATCACAGCAATTGAGAACAATCAATGCTATACCTTGAAGGAGGTGGCCAACATACTCAGAATATCCAAATACAGTCCGTGGTGAAAATGAAGAATATGTCTTTTATTTTATGGAAAAAACTACAGGAACTTTTTGGCCAACCCCACACGTCCCTTGGCTTCTATATCAGCTCCTTCTCTGAGACCTGGCTCTGCAAGAGTCTTCTTAGCCAAGGCTGAGCTCTGATGGCAGCCCCAGCTGCTAAAGATTCTGTGTGAACTCCTCTCTCATCCCTCTGTCTCTCCCTGTCCTTCCTCTTCTCTACTTTCCAAAGCCGAATTACCTTCTTAGTAATATGACTATTACATGCCCATTACTTTGTCATTTCTTTGCTCACAAAAGGCAGTCACGTGTTTTTTGAGGTTCAGTGTCCCACCCCATCTTCAAGCCTATCAAAGTAGTCAAAGCAGCCCTCATTAGTGTACTTCTCCAGCTGTTGTCTAGAGCTGCCTGTGCTGGTGGAAAACAAGACTACAATCCCAAAAGAGAACGTGACTAGCAGCAGTGAAATGCCTTGCTTGCACTGAGAGGGAGAAATCCACTCAATATTTCAGTCTCCCCTCCAATTACCATTTAATTATTCAGCAGCTCCACCAGCCCAGCTGGTGCAGACCAGGAGCTGCTGTCATCTCAGGGGGCTCCTGTAGCAACGTTGTAGATTTAATCAGCTCTGGCGCTGCCACTGCTTTATTTTCCACTGGATTGTTTTTCTCCTTTCCCAAAAGGATTTTTAAAGGAAAGTAGAAGTTTTATCAGCCTGGCCAAGAGTGAAGATCCGTAATTGTTTCTTTAGTACAGCCTGTCCCTGCTAGATTAGGAGCATCTTAAGGACAGCTGCTTTGTCATTTCTTCATGTCCCCACCGCTAGCACAGGGCCAGACAGGTGGGTGCTCAGGCTATAATTGGAGGTTAGCAGGAGAGAGCGGTGAGTGCCAAGCCTCCTGGTGCTCTGCAGCGCTAGGGCTGCCGGACTGCCATCGGGTATGTTTCTGGGTGAACCCAAAGCAGGAGTAAGGGACTCCTTTTGAGTGTGTCAGTTCAGGCCCTGAGGAATCCTTCCCGTCTTCAGCCCTCATGTGTTTTGGTGTTTGCTGGCATCACCAATAAAGTGAACTGGCTGAGTTGGTTTTGCTACTTGTTCATTATTCTAATACTTAAAGGTTTCTCAGCCTTAGCATATGACCTTGGGGACTGGATAATTCTTTGTTGTGGGGGTACCCTCCCCCAGTTGTGATAACCAAAAATGCCTCCAGATATTATACATTTCCCTGGGGGATAAAATTGCCCCTGCTGAAAATCAGTGCCATAGAGGAACAGAAAAGATGGTGAAGGTCTAAAATTTCCTCAGCAAAGAAACTCTTTATGGAAACCATCTTATTTCCACTCAGGTAGCAGTATCTGATGGCAACAAGGTGTGTCTCGAGCCATATTGCAGGAGCCCCCTCTGAGGCTGAATGCCACAGGCAAGGGTGCTGGGCCCCCTCCTGGGCTGGAGTGCAAGGCAGGCCTCAGAGAGGAGCTGAGCTCTGGCGATTGGGGTCAGGAGAATGAACGAAGCCACACAGGTGGAAGCAGAAATGCAGGGGCGTGCCTGGACTAGACACAGCTAGAAGAACCCTTCTCTGTGTCCTGGGAGAGTCACTTGTCACCAGACTGAAGAACATGTTTGGCCAAGAAGTTAGCATTCCTGTCTGTGGACATAGTGGAGTTACTGAAGTTAAAGCACTGTGAGTGTCACTAAAGCTGGGCCTTCAGGACGCTTACTGGGGCAAGCAGTGTGTAGTTGGGCTGGAGAAGGGAGACTGAGGCAGGAGGACAGTGTGGAGGCTGTTTCCTTAAATTCGGTGATCTCTCTGGCAAACTCATGTCTGACAGTCTGATTCAGGTGGGCAGTTCAGGAGGTCTAGGAGTGGGTTGCACTTTTAATGCAAAACTTGATGTATGTATTTGCTCTCCACTGAATGGTGAAACCAAGGGCCCTAGACATTTGTGACTTACTTGCCATTCCCAAATTGAGTGTCTGAGGTACTCAGAAGCCAGGTCTTATTAGTTGGGTCCAAGGAAAAGCCTTACAGACCTCAGCAGCAGGCAGCAGGTCATCCTACAGAGCTAATATGAAGGGCGAGTAGATTTCATAGGAGCCACTGGAAATGGCCTGAGTTTGAAAACCCTGGTGACACCCACCTGAGCTGGGAGTGGGGCTGGGCAGCTTTGACACAGTCGGCCACACCTCAGAGGAAGTGGACAGGGCTCTCAGGGAGGCAGCACCCAGCAGGCTTTCCCAGAGACTGCAGGTGATGAATCTCCTGTTCAGCAGACGGGGCCCACTGTTAACTGCTGCTTTGTGCCAGCTCTTTGCTTGTTAGCATTTGGGTGAATTGACTGTAACAGATGGGCCTCTCAGCATGCAGCACCTTGGTTTCTAGGCCAGACCATCATGACTTGTACCCTGGGGACCCTTCCCCAACCATCAGAGCAACCTGCCCTAGAGGGAGCCTGAGAAGAGGGCTAGGCAGTGCTCTGCTGGGCTCACTGCCTTCCACCTGCCTCAGGAAAGGGCTGTGAGGCATGTGGCAGGAGGAAGAGCTCTACACTGATAAGTGTAAAGCTGGAGGTAACATCCCACCGTCCCCCATGATCTTGAGCAAATCCTTCCCTTTCTGAGGGCCATAGTTTGTTGATCTATAAAATGAGAGGGTTTAGTAAGAGTTAGTCGAAGTTTTTCTAAGTTCTGTGTTCTGTTTTATGTGTCGCTAATTACATCTGTTGAGCTACCAACAGAGAAGAGCCACCCTCGGTGACCAAAAAACAAAGAAAAGGTTTATAAAGCAGTTTTCTATCAGAGTAGTTGTATAGCTCTGGCTGATGTGGCTCAGTTGGTTAGAGTGTCATCCCATAAACTGAAAGGTTGCGGGTTTGATACCTGGTCTGGGCACATGCCTAGGTTGTTGGTTTGGTTCCTGGTCAGAACGTGTGCAAGAGGCCACCGAGCAGTGTTTGTCACATTCGTATTCTCTTTCCCTTACCCTTCCCCCAAAATCAATAAGTATGTCCTTGGGTGAGGAATTAAAAAAAAAAATGTGTAAAAATTAGACCAAGGATTCCCCAAGACAAAATGCTTCTCCCCTTTTCTTGCTGACTGTGTTTCCTCTTTTGCTGACTGAAGCCCAGTTGAATTAAACAATTTGCCTTGATTCTATTCCCCCAAATGTATCTCTAGAATGATTGTTATGATTGTTTAGATTTGAGGTACACCATTTTGCTCACCTTTTGCCTCAGGCACATGCATGTGTAAAATACAAAGGGGGACCACCCAAAAAACAGAATTATCTTCTGGAGGGCAGACCCCTTGTAGTACAGGCTTCCCACACTAGGTGAGTGTTCTAGGAACCCATCTGTACCATTGTATCAACTGGCGTTGTGAGAGGCTACATTCAGCTTCAGTGAATTTTTTTGAAGATTCTTTCAACACACCTGCCCATTTCATGATGGGTGATTTACAAGCGCACCTGCCCACACTGCGCTGAGTGTTCAACAGTTTTTGACCAAAAACAGCACGACCCCATGCCCCTCCCTCCATAGTCACTGTTTTTGTTTCCTTGGATGAGAAAAGTCCTCAAAGGGAAACGGTTTGCTTGTGCGGAAGAGATGAAACAAAAAAACGGCAGAAGCACTAAAAGGCATCAAAATCAATGAGTTCAAAAGCTGT